GATCACGAGTTCAGGTGTTCAACGCCAGCCTGACTAACATGGCAAAACCCTGTCTCTACTAAAAATATAAAAATTAGCCAGGTGTGGTGGCGCATTCCTGTAATCCCAGCTACTCGGGAGGCTGAGGCAGAAGAATCTCCTGAACCTGGCAGGTGGAAGTTACTGTGAGCTGAGATCGCACCATTGCACCCCTGCCTGGGCAACAAGAGTGAAATTCCATCTCCAAAAAAAAAAAAAAAAAAAGCTATTACCCCAACATAGGAGGCCTGCATTCTAGGGGGATAAAGGGGTACCACTGGTCTCCTGTCCCAACTTTCTCCCTCATCATGGCCCAGGACACACCCGCCAAGGCCCCCGAAGACCCTCTGGAATCCCACAGCCTGCCCCGGTCCTCCGTCTCACTGGACCACTGCTACCTCTCACTGAATGACAACAGCAAGGCGCCATCCAGCTCCACCTCCAGTCCCAGCTCCAGCACCAGCGCCAGCTCCAGTTCCAGCTCAGAGGACAGCGACTTGGAGCCCCTGTGGAGGAAACCAGAGGTGAGAGACGTGGCCACGTGCCAGGGCCAGAGGGCCTCTTTCCTCCCTCACCGTCCTCTCTCTCCCCCAGGATGGGTTCTCAGGTCCTGTCTCCCACCCGAGCAACCCTGGAGGAGGAGAGGTCCCGAAGGTTTTAAGCACAGTCCTTGGGGCTGACTTTGGTCGATCAGGTGCTAGCAAGACGTGTACCTCTCACTATTCTTCGCTCAGCACGCGGTAGCAGTGGTCCAGCGAGACGGAGGACCGGGGCAGGCTGTGGGACTCAGGAGGGTCTTCGGGGTCCTTGGAGGGTGTGTCTTGGGCCACAGTGAGGGAGAAAGACGGAGGGGGAGACCAGTGGTGCCCCTTCATCTCCCCAACACTCAGGCCAACCCTGAGGGCGCGCCGGGCTCCAGTGAAGGCGACGAAGACACCACATGGACCCCTAACCAGCAGGCCTCACCCCTGCCAAGAGTTGGGAGAAAGGCCAAGAAGGGCCAAGCAGTCAGGGCCCCTGGGAAGCCCAAGGAGAACAAGAAAGGCCCCTGCCCACCCCAGATGAAGAAGAAGTGTGTCAATGGCTTCATCATGTTCTGCAGGATGAACCGGAAGCAGTACATCCGGTGGGTAGGGTCGTCTTTGGCCCTGGGGAAGGCCCTGCCTTTGCTCTCTGCCTGCAGCCTGGCTCCCCACTGTCTCACACTGTCTGACACTCTTTTCCCCTCCCAGACCCCACCGACCCTTCCAGGACCTCAGTTCTCCCCTAGAAATGAACCTGGCCCCATCATATCGGGCAGGGCCTATTCATTGCCAGCTCAGAAACCTCAGACTTCAGACTTCAGAAGGAAAGGAAACAAAAAAAATTTTTTTGAGTTGGAGTCTTACCTTGTCACCCAGGCTGGAGTGCAGGGGTGTGATCAAGGCTCACTGCAACCTCTGCCTCCCAGATTCTCCTGCCTCAGCCTCCTGAGCAGCTGGGATTACAGGCGCACACCACCACTCCTGGCTAATTTTTGTATTTTTAGTAGAGACAGGATTTCACCATGTTGGCCAGGCTGATCTTGAACACTTCGCCTCCAGCGATCTGCCCACCTCAGCCTCCCAGATTGCTGGGATTACAGGTGTGAGCCACCAGGCCCAGCAAGGAAAGGAATGAATTAGCTTATATAACCTAGAAAACACAGGCGGGTGTAGACTGCCTTGAGATGTAGATGGTTTTAGGGCTCACACAAGGCTGTCTGGAATCTTCGTCCTTTTCTCTCAGTTCTGCTCTCTTCCGGGCTGGCTTCATTCTCTGGCAGGCGGAGTCACCGCAGGAGGCGCTGGGGGTCCTGTCTCCCACTCCAGCGACCCTGGGGAAGGAGAGGTCTCTAAGGTTTTAAGCAAAATCCTTGAGGCTGACTTCGGTGGATCAGGTGCCCACCCGGAACCAGTCATTGCCAGGCCTGGAGCCAGGGGATGGGGGTCCCCCCAAGCCACAGTGGAGAAGAGCTGGTTTCTTTACAGGAAGATCTGGGTGTGGGGGCCAGGAGCAGTGGCCACAGGTCCCCTGCACTCTCCGGGGACGCTGGGTGCCGCTCCCTTGTGAACAGCCACTGAGTCTAGCTGCCTCTGCCTCCTCAGCTCCTCCAGAAGGTGGTCTTGGAGGCCTCAGGCCCACAGGGCTAGGAAGAGTCCGAGTTCTCAGTCAGGGTACCCCGCAGGCCTCTCCTTACCTTCTCCTCCTTCCTGTCCCAGATTCTGCCCTGGGACCGCTTCCACGGCTGCCACCAAGGAGCTGGCCCAACTGTGGCGGGTGATGACCCAGCAGGAACGGAGGCCATACTGGTGAGAGGCCCCGGCCCCAGGTGTGGGGGTGTGGGGGTGGAAGGGCCTCCCTGCTCTGGAACCCTGCTCTGTGTCCACAGCCTTGGTGTCCTGACATGGGAGACTGGGCTGAGGCATTTTCGTGTTGCCTGTTCTTATGAAACCCCTGGGGGTGACAGAGGTGGAGGGTGCCCCACCACTGCTAGGCTGGGGAGCAGCTAAACGTGGACATAGACCCCCTGCCTCAATCCCTTTGCTGTCTCTACCACACAAGTTTCTTGGAGCGTGGTCTGATTTTCCTGTCGCTTGGCCGCCTTGCCTCCCCCAAACCCTGGCCTGTCCACCTTCAAGGAGCTGCCACCTGCCCATTTACAAACTGGCCCCTGAAAAATTGAACGAAAACTTCGAACACATCCCGGAGCCCTTGGCCAAGTCCCCTCTTACAGATCAGGACTCGGTGGCCCCAAGGTTTGCCCAGACGAGGATGAAACGTGGCCCGGGCCGCTACGGGGGCCATGGGGTTGGGGTGGGGGTGAGACAGGGACCCCCGGAGGTGAGTGAGGAAGCCGGGCCATCCTGCTGCCGTCTCCCCAGCACCAAAGCTCGCAGGTTCAGCCGCCAGCACAACCGCATCGTGAAGCGGGACGGCTCCAGCAGCGAGGACGAGGACTGGGAGACACCCAAGCCCTTCTACCAGCTGCTGGCTGAGAAGGCCTTGCCGCTGCCCCCGCACCTCCAGTGAGAGGGCAACCCCCTCACCTGCTCCCCTCACCCCTCAAGGCAACCGTGGCTCTTGCTGGAAGCCAAGACCCATCAATGAACTTGTCCCTCCTAGGCCTCCAGCCCCTGAGAATGCAGGTCCCCCTTAGCCACAGTTCCATGGGCCCAGGGAGGGGGGCACCGATTGGCCCCCACCGCTGGGCACATTTGCCTGGAGCACCAGAGTCGCCCGCAGCTGCCCTGATTCTCCCTCGGGCTTATCAGGAAGGGAACCCAAAATGAAATTCGGGGTGTTGGAGGGTGAAGTTTACCAGCCCCTGCTTTTTCCTTCCCCGCCCGAGCCACACGGTTACAGCCCCGTTCAAGCTCACCTCACCCTACTCCTCCCTCTCCTGTTCTATTTTTAGGCTATTTATTGTTTTAAAGAAAATAAAGCTAAGTGGGACTTTTGTTAACAGCAAGAGACAGGGGCAGGCCCTCCCGAGTCCCCCTGCTGCCCTCATCTGGAGGCCTGCGGCTGGCAAGAGGCCTCACTGCCCGCCCTCCGCAGCCACCCTGTGCATCTGAATGCAAAGCGCTTTCCCCTGGGAGGCAGCAGTGGGAACGCCGGGTCTCCACTAGGGCTGTGTTCAGTGCTGCTTTGGGCAGGCCCTGGAAGGCACCCCACAGCCCTGGTGGTGGTGTAGTCCACTAACTTTATTTCAATTGAAAATGGAGGCATAACACGTCCTAGAAAAATAAAGATTTAGGATACAAAGGGGACACAGTGGGCAGGGCTGCCCCCGGGGATGAGGGAATCTTTGGTCTGGGCCAGATGTGATGACAAGGGCTTGAGTCCAGGGGAGCTGGTGGGGGAAGATCCCCGGCGCCCCACAGCTGCCCCCCACCCCCGGCAGGAAACACCATGCTTGGGAGGGTCTCCAGTCTCTGGGGCGGGGGCTGCCTGTCCTCTACCTTGGGATTCCAGGCAGTTGTGACAACACCAGCTATCTATCAGCAGAGCTATTAATAGCATTTCAGGGAGTGACAGGGAGAAGGCTCTGAAGGCTGGAAGTCCGGCCCTGGGGCAGGGTGTTCTGCTCACGCTAGTACCAGGTGGAAGGGGCAGGGCCCCTGAGTCAAGACCCCCGAGTCCTCTGCGTATATGGCAGGGCACAGGGTGGGGAGGGCTGTAACAGTGAGGCTTCCCATCCAGAGGGGAAGGAGCCCTGGGTAGGAGGTGGCCTGGGACACATCTCCCAGCATCACCAGGGCTGGGAGAGGCCGCCCGGGTAGGACGTGGTGGCTGGGGTCTTCAGCAATTGCGTTTCCGGGGCTCCCTCCTCCAGCTCCTGTCCCTAAATCTTCAGCACCATTGTTGTGCGAGGCCATGGGGCCGCGCTGGGTCACAGTTCCAAGGGCTCCTCCACAGGCACTGACTGGAGCTGTGTCAGAACCCTGGCCTCAGCTTCCAGCCCCTCATCAACCTCGCCCCCTGCGGTGGCCCCCAGGAGCAGCCCCTCAGGGTCAGGTTCTGGCAGCCTCAGCACGGTGTGGGGGGCCTGCGTCCCCAGCCCCTTTTCTGTTTCCAGTAGCCCCTCTGTTCCTGCACTTAATTCCAGCGCTGCTGGCCAGACCGGCACAGCCGCAGGTGACAGCATCAGCCCCTCCGGTGGGGCTGCTGGGAAGCTGGGCAGGAGGCCGGGGGAGTCAGGGGAGAAGGGCAGGCTGGCGCCAGAGGTGGTGGCGGCAGGAGGTGGCTGCTGCGTGGAGAGGGTGCCTAGGGCATGGGCCTCTGAGAGAGCAGGGCTGGGGGCCACCGGGAGGCCTCCCTCAGGGACGGAGATGGCCGTCTCTGGCTTCAGGGGCAGGGCCAGGCCGGGGCCTGGCGGCAGGACCTGGGAGACGAGCATGCTGGTGGGGAAGGTGGCGGTAAGGATGATCTTGCCCTGCTGCACGGCCACACCCGTCACGATGGGGCTCCCAGACACAGGATTGGCCAGGAGGAAGTTTCCTGTGGGGAGAGGGGCCCAGCGTAGGTGAGAGCCCGCCAAGCCAGGCGGAGGTGGAGACTGCTGCAGGAGGGCGGGCGGAGGGAGCCTTCCGGTGGGGCACTGGGACTTGCCAGGGATGAGACGCCCCCCAGGAGCCCACAGACAGCCCCTCCCTCTTTGATGACTGCACCCCCCTCCCCTGGCTCTTATCCAGGCCTGAGGGAAGAAAATGGGGGTACCTGGGGCAGTGGCCGAAGGCAGCTGCAGGGCAGTCACGCCCACCCCGGAGTTGATCAGGTGCACGTTGGCAGGGCCTGCTGCGGCTGCCACCTTCACAGGGCTGCCTGGCCCGGCTGCCAACAGCTGCAGTGGCCCCACAGCTTGGGGCAGGGTCACCACCTGCGAGGTGGGCACCACCTGGGGCAGGTTCAACAGTGGGGAAGTGGGGCTCAGGCCCGTAGGGTACCCTGGGGGTGGGGAGAGCGGCACCACTTGTGGGGCAGCCACAGCAGGCACTGGCCCCGGGGGCAGAGGAAAGGTGGCAGCTGGCGGGGGACCAGGCACCACTTGGGGCAGGGGCCCCGGGACCTCCTCTCCAGGGGCTGGTCCCGAAGCAGCCACCTGGGCCCCTGTGGTCTCAGGGGCCTCTGGCTGAGCCTCCTCCAGCCGCACCTCCCCTGTCTGAGGGTCCAGGACCAGGGAGGTCTTGGCCTCGCTGGCCCCCTGAGGGCTGGGCTGCGGTGGAGGGGCACCCCCGCCCCCGGCGAGCAGCAGCGGGCCCAGGCTGGAGGCCTCGCCCAGGGCCAGGCCATTGATGATGACAGGACCCCCGTTGAGGAGTACTGCTGGGGAGCTGCTGGCAGCCAGGAAGCTCCCATTCACCAGGATGGAGGAGGCAGGGCACGGCGCAGGAGGGCTGGCCCCCGACAGAAATATGGAGCTCTGGGCTGCGGCCTCGGCAGACACTGGGGCCGCCCCTCTCTCCAGGTCCTCAGGACTTCGGCTGGACTCATCCTCAGTCGTGGGATTCCCATCAGACTCACTGGTCAGAGAAATGGCTGTTAGCTGGGGTCCCTTAGCCTGTCCCTGGCTCCCACAGAGCCAGCTGGCTGCTCTCCCACCTTTCCCAGGCGCAAGCTTCAGTGGATCATTCCAGGAGTTATAAAGCCCCTCTGAGACCACCCAAAACCCGAGGGCCTTTTGCAAGCCAGGAATGGACACCACTGCAGAGAAGCGCTGGGGAGGGAAGAGGCCCTTGCTTTCCCCATGCCTCGGCCTCCAGTCCCCGGGCTGAACTCCCACATTGCCCTAAAAGTTCCTTGGTTGGGTGGAAAGCAGGCGAGTGGCCTGGAGAGAGGGAGCAGGCGCCGCCAGCCCAGTTCCCAGTGCCCTCCCCGCGGGGCGTCAGAGAAGGGAGAGGCCAGCGCTCAGGGTGGGAGGGGAAGGGCTTGGGTTACAGAGAAACCAGAGCTGGGGAAGGTTCACGTTTCACAACAAAGGCAGACGACGGACCACGCTGTCCAGGCCCAGAGGGGGTGTGGGGGCGAGTGGGGAAGAGTAAAGGGCAGGGAAGAAAGGGGGCTGGAAAGCCACCCCTATGCGGGGTGGGGTGGGCACAGGCCCCTGCCCTCTTTCCGCAGCCCCTCTAGTGCACCCCACAGTGTGGTCCCCAACACCGATGGGATTTGGGCAGGAGCTCGGAATGGAGCCGCGGTTAGAGGAGACGCGTGCTGGGCAGTGATGCGGGGGAGAAGGCCCAGGCCAGTGCCTGTGCCGTCCACGCTTAGTCCTCGCGCCCCGCAGGCCCCCGGGGCTTGAGCGGGAGGAGTCCGAGGACCTCGGCGTGCTGGCTCCAGCAGTGGGCACGGGGGAGGAGGACCGGCGGACGGCATGTCCCCGGGAAAGCGGGACTTGCGCCTCCCAAGGCCCCTCACCTTTTGCAGGGCGCGCCGCCGCTGGCCCCGGTCCGATCGCGCTGTCGCCGGTTCTTGAACCAGTTGCTGACCTGCGTGAGCGAGAGGCCGGTGAGCGTGGCCAGGCGGCGCTTCTCGTCCGGCGTCGGGTAGCGGTTGCCGCGGTAGCAGGCCTTGAGCGCGGCACGGGAGCGCTCCTTGAAGCAGTAGACTGTCTCCTCGCCGTCCCAGATGGTCTTGGGCAGTGGGAACTTCTTGCGCAGTCGATACTTGTCCACTGCGCCCAGAGCGCGGCCGCGGGCCCGCTCGGCCTCGTGGTAGCGCGCGCGCAGGTAGAGGTCCTGCAGGAAGGCGTGGTGGGCGGCGGGGAAGGGGCGGCTCTCGAGTAGCCGGTAGAGCTCGGCGTACTCGCCCCGCTGGAAGGCCACCAGGGCCCGTGCGCGCAGCACCGGGTCGCTGCCACGTAGGCGCTCGGCCGGGGGCAGTGCGCCCAGGAAGCGGCTCAAGCGGCCGGCGTGGCCCGCCTGGAGCAGCGCCTCGCAGACGCACGCCACCTGCTCCGGTGAGAAGCGGAGGCCCGTGGGCGGTTCGGCAGCGGCCTCGGGGGGCAACCCGGGGACGCCCGGGGATCCCGGGCCCTCCGCTCCCGCCGCCGCTTCACCCGCCCCGGCCCCAGCCGCTGCCGCCGCCTCACCCTCGGCCGCCTGCAAAGTCTGCAGGAGCTGGCGCGCTTCCTCCTCCTCCTCTTCGGTAGCCGTGGCCGCCACCGCCTCCCCCCCGGCCGCCGGCCCCACGCTCGGCTCCGCAGGCAAGGTAGCCATGTTTTGCAACTTTGGGAAGTTCCTCCCTCCTTCTCTTCCTCCCTTGGGCTTTCCCCAGCCCCCTCCCCCACCTGTCCCCCCTTTTCGCCCTACTCCTTACTCTCCTCGATCTCCCCAGGCCAACCCTGCGCCCCACACCGGGAAGGCGAGACCCAGCTCTCCACCCGGTCTCTGTCCCTGCGTGTGTGTTCGTCCCTCTCCCCGTCTGTCCGTGATTCTCCCTTTGTTTTCCCTCCGCCTCTGGCCGCGCTTTCTGCCTCCCCCTGCGTGTGCTTCTGGCTCAGGGCCTCAGTTTCCACATCGGGACAACGCAGAAGGTAATGGGCCGTCCAGGAGGGCTAAGGGCGCGAAGCCTCCGCTCCGAGACTGCGCTTCTGCACGCCTCTGTCTCCAGGGTCCTCTGTAGGCCCCCACATTCCCCATCTCGGCCTGCGCTCCGCCCCTCGGAATTCCCGGCTCCGCAGGGGGGGCGGGTCTGGCCGGGAGGAGGGGCGGGGAACGGGCCAGAAAGTTTGCAGCAACTTTTCTTGAGCTTGCGTCCCCAGAGCGGATGCGCGTGGCGTACGCAGGCGCAGTGGAAGGAGGATGGCCGCGCGCGCTACTCGCCCAGCCCCCTTCTTTTCGACGCTCGGAGCCACAGCTGGGCCACAGCTGGGCGTGGGCGGCGCCTCCGGGTGGCCCGCTCGCCCTCTCCTATTGGCCGGACGCCAAAGCCCCGCCCCGTGGCTTTTCCTCCCCCACGGCTGATTCGTCCGCTTCGCGTCCCGCTAGCTCCTCTCAAACCTTTGGCCGCGTCCACTCGCCTTCGGATTGGCCAGCTGCGCAGCCTCCTGCCTACAACGCAACGCAAACCGTGGACGCAAGGCTTTTGGGCAAATAGAGGGCCTTTTATTCGCGAGGGTCGGGAGTGGGGTCCTAGGTGGGGAGAGACAATAAATACCGAGGAATGTCGGGGTCTCAGTGCATCCAAAACGTGGATCGGGGTGTTGGGGGTCCTGCAGCCTGTCAGCGAGTCGAAGGACGAGGTTAATAAATATCCAAACCACCAAGGCAGGTGGAGCCGGCTGGGGCTCCGAGAGCAGCGCACGTGAGAAGGGGGGCGCGGGATCCCCCGAAAAAGCGGGGTGGGCAAAAGCAAATATCCCGAGTAAGCGGGCAGAGGTCGCATCGGACACTCCCTGGAGAGCAGGGCATCATGTCCAAGGGGGATTTGCGGTTTGCTAACCGACGTTGGGTGGGGGTGCGTAGAGGGTGGAACACGGGCAGCCGGCTTGCAGCCTTTTCAGGCTCGCAGTTTGCCCATCCACGTCGAGGCCTCAGCCTAGCCGAAAAAACGAAGTGGTCTGCGATTCCCCCAGCAGCAGCAGCAGCATCAGCAGCATTCCCGGCTACAAGGGCCCCTCGAGCCCCGTTCGCCGGCCGCGGAACCGGCTTCTCCCTCCCCGGCCACCAGGGGGCGGGCCTGGATCACAGGACTGGAACTGGGCGGAGACCCACGCTCAGAGCGGTGTGAACTGGCAGGCGGTGGGCGCGGCTTCTGTGCCGTGCCCGGGGCGCTCAGTCTTCCAACGAGGCCCCCGAGTCGAAGAGAGTTCTAGGGTTCAGGGGGCGAGGGCGGCTCCAGGGCGGCGCCAGATTGGGGTGAGTTGGCCGGCGTAGGCCACCAACCCAGCGCAGCCCGGGGCGGCGGCACTAGCCAGAGCAGCGGCGAACAGGAGCAGGGAAAGCGCCTCCGATAGGCCAGGCCTAGGGACCTGCGGGGAGAGGGCGAGGTCGGCACCCGGCACGGCCCTCTGATTGGCTCCTGGAACTCGCCCCGCCTACGCCCATAGGTGGGCCCGCACTCCTCCCTGCGCCTCGCCCCCTCCCCAACAGCAGCTGCTGTTAGTCCACTTGCAAGCCTCGAATCCCGTCGGAAACTCGTCATTGGCTGCTTCCTAGTGGCCTGTGTTGATTCGCTGCCCGAGGATCCTCCCTCCCGCGGTGGGACCAGCCCCGCAAATGCGCAGCTAAGCGGGTGGCACTGGGCGGGTGGAGCTAGGGGCGCGGCGGCGGAGGGGGGCGTGGGCAGCCGGACGTACCCTGGCAGGGAGCAGCAGGTGGCGGCGGTGCATGGGGCCTGGCCCCACCAGCGGGCACTGGCCCAGAGCCACGGCCGGGGGGCCATCTAGCTGGAGAGAGAAGGGACAGGTGACCCGATCGGAGCCCAGCCCAGCCCTCGGTGGTGCGGCGAGAGACAGCGAGGGGAGTCAAGGCCGGGGAGGTTATCTAGGGAGATCCCAGAGGGGATCTGGTGAGACCTGAACCGAGGGAGATCTGGGACTGAAGGAAGGGCTTCTGCCCTCTGAAGTCGCAAAGAGATAGGGTGAGCCCTAGATCTGGACGGGGAGACCAGGAGCCAGGGAGAGGGTCTACAGAGTGGGCAGCAGGTCTCAGGCAGGGAAAAGAGAGGGGTCTTACATGGGAAGGTGGATCCGTGGCCCGGGGACTGGGGACCCCCGTGACAGCTGGAAGAAGAAAGAGGCATAGGGCGCGTGGAGGGGCGAAAGAGGGCAGTGGCGCGGCGTGCCCCAGCATGGGTCCCTCTCCTCCCCCAGGTGTCCATACACGCCCCACGGAGCAGACGGCCCACCTCCTCCCGGTCCTCGGGAAGGGGACGCTTGAGGGACTTGCCTGTGGCTCCCTCTGCCTGCAGCAACTCCATGCGCTCTTGCAGCTGCCGGACGTGCGCCTCCAGGTCCCGGTTCCGAGCTTCGGCCTCGCGTAGTTGACTGTGGGGAAGTAAGGACGGTGAGTCCGTCTGGGCTGAACGAGAGGGGGCTGCCAAGGGTTGCCACAGGCCCTGAGCCCCGACCCCGACCTGGCGAAGTTCTGGTTGGCCGTGCGGATGGCCTCCATCTCCCGGCTCAGGCTCTGCCGGGTGAGCACCTCCTCCTCAAGTGCCTCCTGGAGCTCCCGCAGCGTCACCTCGGCCTCAGCCTCCACCACAGGGATATCAGCTGGAACTGCCACTTCGGCCTGTGTATGGGAACCAGGCTTAAGGCTGCCCATGGCTCCTGAAGACTCAGGACTTGGGCCCTGGTTCCAGGCCTGAGAGTCTCGCTTGTCCCCTACTCCTCCACCCCCTCGGGATTTCTGGAATGGCCATCGCTCCTGCAATGATCCAAGCCCCCTCCCTTCCTTACTCCCCTCAGCCCCATCCCTGAGTCTGGTCCCCTCAATCCACGCAGGGACTAGAGGGCTAGTCCTAAAACACTAACACAACTTGACCCTGACCCTCTGCTTCTCAAAAATCCCTCCAGCTCCCTAATGCCCTCAGGACAAAAGGTCTTGCCAGGTTGTTTTCTGCTGGCCTCGTCAGCCATCTCAGGAACAATTCAGCCAGACTATCTGTGACTTTCAGGAACAAACCAGGATTCCCACCTGCTCAAGGCCTTTGCCCTTAAGGTCTGGCCTGACCACCTGGTACTTTTCTTTCCTTCACCAGTGCTCAGTTCAAAGATAAGCTCCTCGGATCCCTGGCAACACACACCCTTAAACGCCCTACTGTAACGCCTTCACAGGGACCTCTGTGGCTTCTGTCTGCTTCTGTTCAGTAAGCTCCCAGAAGGCCCCACAGTGCACCCCATGCAGGAAGCCCTCGCCTTTTCTCTCCTGTTTGTCCCTGACGGACCCTCACCTCTACCAACTTACTGTTTCATCTGGCAGGGACACCGAGGGCTCCAGGCTGGGCGCTTGTACGTGTGGCTCAAGCAGCTGCTCGGCCTCCAGTTCCATGGGTGTGGGGCCTGGGACCTCATTGTCCCTGGGGAGAGGAGGAGGGAGTAGGGAGGGAGACAGAATGCTGATTCTTGAATGGAGAACCAGGAACTCCTGGCCTGTGGGTAAGGGGCAGCTGCTTCAAAGACCACCTGATCTGAGGAAGGGGAGCGGCAGAGTGAAGAGAACGGTCTCAGGTGGGCTGGCAGCCCTTCCCCCTGCTTATGAAAAGCCCTGCCCCTTCCCTGGCCCTGGGCCGCTGGGAGCTGCTTTTTCTAAACCTTCTGCAGGGACTCAGGGTCCAGACCCCCATGTTCTAGGGTCAGTTCATCTCCTCCTTTGACATGTGACCTCTGCAGACCTGATGAGGGAGACTGCTTGGCTCTGGCCACCTCCACAGATGTGGTCCTAAGACTGGGAATGGGACCCCAAGATGGCGACTCCAGATCAGCACACCCCGCTCAGCTGTGGGAAGGGGACAGCCCCTCCCTGGGGGTAAGAAGTGGCTGTCCCCTACAACCCAGCACCCTCTCCTGGAGGAACATGGCTCAGGACCTAGCTATCCTCGACATGCACCTGGGTCTAACAGAGGATGGGTTCAATCCTGAACCACCTGTTCAGGCCCCACAGCGGCTGAGAATCAAATTTGAGTTAATTAATGAGAAGAAATGGCATTTGTAATGTTTTCCAGTAATAAAAGCTGATTAGAAAACCACCTGTTTTCTTAGACAAGGTAGCACGGAGAGAAAAAAATCCCCACCTGTTCTACAGTAGTTAACCACGTGTCTATGCACGTGTGAGCCACCGACCACTGCTGTCCTGGTGAGTTCACAAGATACTGACTTCCTTCTCCTTATCTGTATTTCTGATTGTAATCAGCAGTACATGATGTGTATGGCCTCACACTAGGCCCAGGTGGAATCTATCTATCATGGCTCACTGAAGCCCCAACCTCCAGGCTCAGGTGATCCTCCTACTTCAGCCTCTTGAGTAGCTAGGACTGCAGAGACAGACCACCATGCCTGGCTGAATTTTTTCAATTTTCTGTAGCGATGGGGTCTCACTGTGTTGCCCAGGCTGGTCCTGAAGTCCTGGGCTCAAGTGATCAGCCTCCCAAAGTGCTGGGATTTCAAGCTTGAGCCACCGTGCTCAGCCTGTAAATATATATATATGTATTTTTTTTTTTTGAGTCGAAGTTTCACTCTTGTTCCCCAGGCTGGAGGGCAATGGTGTGATCTCGGCTCACCGAAACCTTCGCCTCCCGGGTTCAAGTGATTCTCCTACCTCAGCCTCCCAAGTAGCTGGGATTACAAGCATGCACCACCATGCCCAGCTAATTTTTTATTTTTAGTAGAGATGGGGTTTCTCCATGTTGGTCAGGCTGGTCTCAAACTCCCAACCTTAGGTCATCTGCCCACCTCGGCCTCCCAAAGTGCTGGGATCATAGGCGTGAGCCGCCGTGCCTGGCCAGCTCTGAGGTTTTAGAAATGAATCTAACATTCTGAAGTACATATATCTCAGATTTTAAGGTCCCCCAACTCTGGCTTCTTAGGAGTCCATGTTCCCAAAACGATAAGGTTCTAAGACTGATCCTGCAACTGCTGGCCGCCAAGGAGCAGGCCCCGGGAAGCCCAGGCAGCCTTGAGGCCTCTGGAGACCACCCAGGGTGGTGCTTACCTGAGGGCCATGCAGGAGTAGGAGTAGCCCACGAAAGGCAGGTGGACCCCCAGCGGCACACCTTCCCGAATGTCCGACAGTGTCTCCTGCGGAAGACACACAGATGTCATCCGCAGTCCTTAGGGTGGGCCCCTCACTGCTTTTTGATCATGGCTTATGTGGTCCCCCCAAGCCAGCCCCAACTCAGGGCTTATCTAAAGTGGCCCTCCACCATTTTTTATTTTTTTGTGACTCGGAGTCTCGCTCTGTCACCCAGTCTGGAGTCCAGTGACACGATCTTGGCTCACTGCAATCTCTGCCTCCTGGGTTCAAGCGATTCTCCTGCCTCAGCCTCCTGGATTACAGGATTCCCCTGCCTCTGCTGGGATTACGGGCACCTGCCAACACACCCTGTTAATTTTTTATATTTTTGGTAGAGATGGGGTTTCACCATGTTGGCCAGGCTGGTCTCAAATTCCTGACCTCAAGTGATCCACCTGCCTGGACCTTCCAAAGTCCTGGGGTTACAGGCCTGAGCCACTGCGTCTGGCCATTTTTTCTTTTTATTTCTTTTTTTTTTTCTTTTTTTTCTTTTTTTTTTTTTTTTTTTGAGACGGAGTTTCGCTCTTGCTGCCCAGGCTGGAGTGCAATGGCGCGATCTCGGCTCACCGCAACCTCCGCCTCCTGGGTTCAGGCAATTCTCCTGCCTCAGCCTCCGGAGTAGCTGGGATTACAGGCACGCGCCACCATGCCCAACTAATTTTTAGGAAAGACGGGGTTTCACCATGTTGACCAGGATGGTCTCGATCTCTTGACCTCGTGATCCACCCGCCTCAGCCTCCCAAAGTGCTGGGATTACAGGCTTGAGCCACCGCGCCCAGCATCTTTTTTCTTTTTTTAAGCTGGGTTTTCACCATGTTGGTCAGGCTGGTCTTGAACTCCTGACCTCAGGTAATCCGCCCGCCTTGGCTTCCAAAGTGCTTGGATTATAGGCGTGAGCCACCGCGCCTGGCCTTCTTTTTTTTTTTTTAATATAGACAGGGGTCACTCTACATTGCCTAGGTTGGTCTGGTTACAAACTCTGGGCTTAAGCAGTCCTCTCACCTCAGTCTCCCAAAGTACTGGGATTACAGGTATGAGCCGCTGTGCCCAGCCCACTTCTTTTTTTTAGATGGAAGTCTCGCTGTCTCCCAGCCTAGAGTACAGTGGCACAATCCTATCCCACTGCAACCTCCACCTCCCAGGTAGAAGTGATTCTCCTGCCTCAACCTCCCGAGTAGCTGGGATTACAGGCACGAGCCACCATGCCTAAGTTTTGTATTTTTTATTTTTAAATTATTTATTTATTTATTTATTTTTTGAGATGGAGTCCTACTCTGTCTCATAGACTGGAGTGCAGTGGCGCGATCGCGGCTCACTGCAACCTCTGCCTCCTGGGTTCAAGCGATTCTCCTGCCTCAGCCTTCTGAGTAGCTGGGATTACAGGCACCTGCCACCATGTCTGGCTAATTTTTTTTTATTTTTAGTAGAGACAGGGTTTCACCATGTTAGCCAGGATGGTTTCAATTTCCTGACCTTGTGATCCATCTGCCTTGGCCTCCCAAAGGGCTGGGATTATAGGCATGAGCCACCTCACCTGGTAAGTTTTGTTTTGTTTTGTTTTGTTTTGTTTTTGAGATGGAGTTTTGCTCTTGTTACCCAGGCTGGAGTGCAATGGCGCGATCTTGGCTCACTGCAACCTCCGCCTCCTGAGTTCAGGCAATTCTCCTGCCTCAGCCTCCTGAGTAGCTGGGATTACAGGCATGCGCCACCATGCCCAGCTAATTTTTTGTATTTTTAGTGCAGACGGGGTTTCACTATGTTGACCAGGATGGTCTCGATCTCTTGACCTCGTGATCCACCCGCCTCGGCCTCCCAAAGTGCTGGGATTACAGGCTTGAGCCACCGCGCCTGGCCCCAAGTTTTGTATTTTTAGTAGACACAGGGTATTACCATGTTGGTCAGGCTGGTCTCGAACACCTGACCTCCAGTGATCCGCCCACCTCAGCCTCCCAAAGTTCTGAGATTACAGGTGTGAGCCACCTTGCCCAACCTATTTTTTAATTTCAATGTAATTTTATCTTACCCTGCACTCCAGCCTGGGCAATTTCAATGTAATTTTATCTTACCCTGTCTCTCTGTTGCCCAGGCTGGAGTGCAGTGGCAAAATCCCAGCTCACGCAGCTTTGACCTCCTGGGCTCAAATAATCCTCCCATGTTAGCCTCCCAAGTAGCTGAGTATTCAGACATGTGCTACCACGCCCAACCAAATTTTTATACATTTTTGTAGAGACAAGGTCTCACCACATTGCTCAGGCTGGTCTCGAACTCCTAAACTCAAGCAATCCACCCGATTCGGCCTCCCAAAGTCTTGGGGTTACAGGCGTGAGCCACTGTGCCTGGCCCCACCATTTTTTCTTGTATCCTGTTGCTTCCCTTCAGGGCATCTGCCACACTCTCCATAATTCTCTAATTCTCTAGACTGCAAGTGGATGAGGGCAGGGACCAGAGCTGATCTGGTCAGTGCTGCATCCCCAGAATTGTCCGGAAAAGGGCACCCATAGCCAAGCAAGCATTCCACCACAGCTTGTTACATGGTGGAGAGAGGAGTCCTCTCCTGCTTCTCATCCCTCCAAGTCTCAGCTCAGATAGCTTCCCTCTCCAGGACGCCCTCCAGGACCTTCCTTGCTGAGTCAGGAGCCCCCCACCACCTGCACTTCGTCGTCTCAGCCCTGATCACTCTGGGGCCTCGCTGTCTAAGGCTGGTCTGTGTTCCCCCACTGGCTAGGTCACTGCTGGGTCCTCAGCACTAGGTGAGCACAGAGGAGGTGCTCTGGGGAGAGAGTGATTCAGGACCCCAGGAGGTAGGCACTGTCCTTACTCCAACTTTATAGAGAGGGGATGGGGAGGTTCCCGCAGCCAAGCAGGGGCCGCAGGTACCTACCCCGCCCCCGCTCACCATGGCAGTGAGCCCGTCCTCCACCAAGTCGAAGTTGCATGTGTCGGTGGCACCTTCGAAATCCGGTGTAAAGGGGGGCATGCTGTCCCGGAGACCATCCCAGTCGAGGCCAAAGAAAAAAGGATGTGTCCGGAAGTCGCCTGCTCCACCCCGGCCCAGCCGTGTCTCCGGGGGACAGAGGAGCTGCTGAATGAGGTCTCGAGCCTCCTCAGGAACCCCTTCATCTGCCAGCGGCAGAGAGAGGTGCTCCTGCTCAGAGGAAAAGGGAGAGGAGGTGATAGTCTGGGAGCGCCCAGGGGGGAGGTCAGGCCTCTCTGGGGCTGCGCTCACCCTGTAGTGAACAATCTTGCCGTAGGTCTCTGCTGTGGATTCTGCGTAGAAGGGTGTCTGCCCATAGAACATTTCATAGGCGAACACGCCCAGCGCCCACCAGTCACACTCGGGCCCGTAGCTGCCTGTCCCAGGCCTACCGCCCACAGCCTGCAGGATCTCGGGGGACAGGTAGTCCGGGGTGCCCACAGCCACCATAGATCGCACCTGGACCAAAAGGAGCAGAGCAAGGCTCAGGCTCATCCCTCTGGGCCCTCCTTCCAAACACTCTCGAATATTTATCCCCTTCCTCTGCTTGGTCTAATGCTCTGCCACACAATGCACACTTAGGCCTGGGTCACCTCCTCCTTCCCCTCCAAATCCAGTCACGCCCCCACACTCTGTGCCTCCCATCCCTCAGCAGCGGCCTGAATTGCTCTGCGGTTGGCACTCGCTCACCGTTCCATCTGCCCGCAGCTTGAGGCAGGAGCCGAAGTCAGCCAGGCGGATGTGGCCGCAGCGGTCCAGCAGGATGTTGTCGGGTTTGATGTCCCTGCACCGAGGAAAGAAGAGTGGGAGAACTGAACCTCCCTCCCGTGGTCCCATCAGGCTCCGCCCCCTTTGGGCAGTGCCGCCTGAAGCCCCACCTCCTCGAGTTCTGCTCCTGTGGGGATTCTACAGTTCTGGACCCTACTCTCAGGCACCGCCCCCGCTGGGCCCCAACCAAGGAGGTCCCTCTCTCGGCCCTG